CGGCGGCAGATTTTTTTTTAGAATTTGTCCCTCCTTTCAACAACTTGTGTTCTCTTGTTTCTCTTCTATTTTCTCTCCTTTCTCTCACTTTTCTTCTGTTTTGCAAACCTAAAACCTATTAGGATTCAAGACTGATTACAGTCTTGATCTTCTACTATCAGAAATTAAAATAGTGTTTTTTTGTAGTAATAATATTGAACTCCCGATCTTACCCCTGCTTAAGTTATAAGATATATTGACTAATCTATCTCTCCTTTAAACATTACAACAGCAACCCTACATATAGACCCAGCTTGGATACAATGGTAATTTCATTTCCTTTTCAGTGCCTTCGTGAACAGATCTGCAAGCTGTTTTTCTGATTTGAAAAATGGAGTATAAACATTACTACTTTGCACCTTTTCTTGGATAAAATGACAGTCCATCTCAAGATGTTTTGTCTGCTCATAAAACACTTGATTAGAAGCAATTTGTGTGGCAGCTTGGTTGTCACAATGAAGATGCATAGGCAAAGAGACAGAAAGTGTGAAATCCCAGTATTCAGCCTCTGCACTGAATGTCCGAATTTGGCTGCTACTTTGCTTCTTGCTCTTCCATGTAACTGGATTTTCTCCCAGAAACTAGTGGTGGGTTGCTAGTATGAAGGAGATCCAACCTAGTCTGCATCACTGTACCTGAAACTACTAAGTACCATGATCCTTATATATAACTCCTAGTCATGGAGACCTTTTGAAGTTTCGTAATACCATGAAAACGACATCTGGATGAGACACTCATGGGGATCTCATAAACTGGCTGATTACACTTATTGCAAATGAGATATAAAAGGCCACTAGTAGAAATGAGATATTAGGTCATATAATAGTTAAGTAATTCTATATATAGACCATCCTCCCATATTGTCCTGGGTCATCAACTAATTCCCCTTGATTAGATACAAGTTTTGTGTTTGGATCCATGGGAGTAGCAGTTCGTTTATAGTCTTACATACTAGTGTCCTCACGCGGGTCAAGTTTTTACTGCCTCTGTGAAAGTCATATTCTTCAGCTTTGTAATATCCTTTTAGGGTGTAGAATTAAGTTACATAATCTATGGCATATTTTAGGATCTATTTGTACTTTAGGGATTGGGTTCATTTTGACACTGTCGTCTGGTAATATTGTTGAAGCTTTTGATTGTAAATCCATCATACACAGTAATATCTTATTGTAATTTTTGTTGCACATAAATGAAATTATGCTTTTTCTTCTTAATGAAAAGAATGTTTGTTTAAACTTAGATTCAACATGGAGTCCTGCTTATTGGAAAGCTGAACCTGGCTTTAGGTTGCTGAATCTGATCTATTTCAGGCCCTAGTCTTGCATGGTTCCTCATGTTAGAGGGTTTTAGACATTTGATGTATTGAATGCATATTTCAATATGTTATTTGGGTCAGGCTATTAAGAAGCTAATTTAAGGATGATGATTTGACATACACTAGGGGTAAACTTGTCTTAATTGTAGAGTTTTGGGTGGTTTTCTATTTAAGGTCTTCATTCTTTGTTTTTTCGTTTTCCTTTTTTATGGTTGTTGTTTTCTTCTATGAAGGTTGACACCTAGTTAGTTTGTGAATCTTGTTCATGGCAGAAAAATGAAGGTGATATAACAGTCATAGATGTTTGCTGTGTTCCAGCTAATTTTCATGCAAGATTTAAAGCTCAAGAGCGCACGTAGGTGTATTTTATATCAGTGCAAATTTGCTAGCAATTATCGGTGACAGTCCTGGTTTATTTTTTAATTATTATATTGCAGTTTTTAATTATTATTTTTCCATTTTATTCATTGAACGAAAAGGTAATCACCCAAATCACTTTTCCTCTTTTTATTATTGTTCTCTACTCTCTTTTCCTTGAAATAATATTTCTAGTTTCTATTCTGTTCTGATTCTTGAAATATTTTAAATGGAGACTAGGTCATTCTTGAACCATGAAAACATTTTGGTTTAACAGTGGGTGTGGCCCACTGATCAGAATGTAAGAAATTAAGGGTAGGTCCCATAGATATAATGTTAGAATTTATTTTAGTAGTAGGTCAGCCCCACAAATGAGGACATATATATATATATATATATAGTAAAAGAAGGAAGTCTAGGAAATTTCTATTTTTTTAATTTTTTACTTTTTTTTTTATTCCATGTCATTTTTGAAACAACCAATGAGATTCTCTCCTTCCCCATAAAAATTTACCTAAAATCTCTCTCTCTTGAATATGTTCCTAATAACCTAAATAATCTCTTCTCCTAAATTTCTCCTAAACTACCTCCCCCACTATCTCCCACTTTCTCCTTAATTATCTCTAATTCTTATTTATCTCCTCAATTATCTCTAATTCCTATTTATCTCCTAAATTATCTCTAATTTAGTAGAGAGTCTCTCTCCTAAATTATCTCTAATTCCTATTTATCATCTCCCCCACTTTTTATCTATATCTATTTAAAGAAAGTTTGAATTAAAAAATTTAAGAATTATTTAAATATTCTAATGAAATTATATAATAACTTTAAAATATTTATTATAAAACAAAAAATAATTATAATAGATTTAATAATATTCATATCATTAATAATTTTATATTTTTACAAAGTTCATCACGAAATTATGTACTAACAATATAAATTATGATTTTCCTGATTATTTAATTTAAATTTTATTCAAATAATAAAAATTTAACATGAGAAAAACAAAATAATAAAAATTTATTAAAGTAGAAAAATAATTATAACATAATGCTCAAATTAATAATAACCTAATATTTTACAAAATTAATGATGAAATTATGCAATAATAGTTTATGTTATAATTTTATGGATTATTAACTTCAATAAATAATTAATATTTTAAAATTTAAATAATGATATTATTTAAATGACTATAATATTGTTAATAACTAATTTCACTTTTATCAATTAATAATTCTAGAAAATAACTAATTTCGCTAAAAATTTTCAATTATTATTGGAGTTTAGACTATTGTTATTTATTTGAGATTAGACTATTAATTTAGCTGAAATTAGGAGTGTTCACAGGTTGGTTCGGTTTTGTTGTAGGTTGTTTTGCCAACCAAATCGACCTGGTCCCTGAAACCAACCATTAGTGAAAACTGGCCAACTCGGGTTGTATCAGTTTGGGTCGATTTTCGTTTTGGTCGGCAGGTCCAAAAGATTTAAACTTAAAAAAATTAAATTAAATTTAAAAAAATTACAGTGGCATTATTAATAAAATAAATTTAAAAATTGTATTTATGATATGAAAATTATATCATAAAATATATTTAAAATATAAAATATTAAAGAATATCTATGGTCGGGTTGTTTGATTTTGGTATGTTTACAAATGGCCAAAGCAAAACTAATCCAACTTGGTCGGTTTGGGATATTGTTTAACCAAAGTCAACTGGAAATATTAGAAAAATGACCAACTTGGGTCAAGTTGGTCGGTTTCATCAGTTCAATGAACAACCCTAGCTGAAATTTATTAATTATTTTAAAAGTAATTTATAAAATATGAATAATTATTAATTATTTTAAAAGTAAAAAATATAAAACAATTGTATACTCTTATATGTTTCTATTGTTTAGCTTTCGCTTAACAAATTCTGTGCATCGCATGGGTCCCTGCTAGTAAGGATTGTTAAAATCAGCTTTAAGAGTGGGAATGGCCCATTGGTCTTATCATTAGAATCTATTATTGATAGTGGATGGGACCCACTATAGGGTTAAATTTTAGTTTAACAGTGGGTATGGATAGGGGTGGATTCAAGCCGAGCTGAGCTGAATAGCTATCTATTCTAGCTCAGCTTGCCAAGGTAGTACGAGGCTCAAGCTCGGCTTGGCTTGAGCTCGACTTGAGAAAAATGTTTTATAAAAAAATTATATATAAATTTTTTATTTGATATTAAAAAGTTTAGAATTATAATAATTAGTTATTATTATATATAAAAATAAAAATATTATATATATGTAGAATTTTTATTATATATATTATTTTTTGTAATTTTATATTATTATTATTATTATGTAGCTATTTGAGCAGTTCGTGAGCCTCACGAGCCGAGATTTATTAGGCTTGAGCTTGGCTCGATTAATAAACGAGCCTGTAAATTGGGCTCGAGCTTGGCTCGTGGCCACCCCTAGGTATGGTCCACTGATCACAACATTAGAATTGATATTTGACAATGGATAAGACCCACTATATGGTTAAATTTTGATTTAACAGTGGATATGGCCCATTGAACAGAACATAAAAATTAATTTTAGGGATAAGTGGACTGCAATCGACCTCAGAAATCTGAAATTGCAGCCCCCTCCTAGTTGCCCCCCCTATAAACCACATCCTGCCTGTGGATTTGGCATCAATCCACAGTCAGGATTCAGTCCACCCCTAGAAATCTTAGCTCCACCCTAGGGGTGGACTGAACTATAAAAACCCCTTAATTTTAAGGATGGGTCCCATAGATATAATGTCAGAATTTATCCTAACTATAGGTTGGCCCCCACAAAACAGGATATTAGGATTATTAAAATTAGTTTTAACAATGGTTATGGCTCACTGATCAGATCGTTGAAATCTATTTTTGATGGTGAATGGAACTGATTATAGGGTTAAGTTTTGGTTTAACAGTGGGAATGGCCCATTGATCAGAATATGAGAATTTATTTTAAGGTAGGTCCCATAGATATAATATCAAAATTTATTTTAGCAGTGGGTCAGCCCTACAAATTAGGATATAAGGAAATTCAGCTTGGACAATGGGTATGGCACACTGATCAGATAATTTGAATCTATTTTGATAGTAGATGAGACCCACTATAGGGTTAAAATTTGGTTCAACAGTGGGTATGGCCCATTGATGAAACAGTAGAATTAATTTGAAGGGTGGGTCCCATTATCGAGACTTGTTTTTAGTGATGGATTTGAAAAAAAATTCATATAAAATAATCAATAAAAAGTTCCCAAATGAGATAATAAGGGTGGATAAATCCACCAAATTTAATCCTAAAACCGGGGAGTTTAAAACTTCAGTTCTTATCACAAATAACCTTTTTCTTATGTGGCATATAGCCCAAAGGGATTAGAAGCTCTATATCTATATATAATCTGTCTGTGTGTGTGTACCTTAAAACAAGACAAGAATCTCCAGGTCCTTTGACCCTTTGAGAGTTTTTTAAAGAGTAGAGCAGGGAAAGGAAAAAAAATGCCCAAATAAGATGTGTGGACAGGATAGAAGGGAAGAAAGGATGTGCATTACTTGTACTACCTCTACCTTTTTTCCTATTAGCAGAATTATCTTCGTCCTCTTTCCTCCCAAGTTTGATGGCTTCACTCCTCTTTCCTCTCTCTTCCTCTCCTCTAGTTGAGCAGTTTCACTCCTCTCTGTCTTTTTTTTTCTTCCCTCCTTATATAGACAAGGGTAGGACTGGTTGGTATATAGACAAGGGTTGAACAGTAATTTTCTTATATTTCTTGATTTGTATAAAAAAGTTGAACTTTTTAGAATTTTTGATGCCTAGGATCAGTGATTTAAAAGGTGCACCTAAGGTGCACTGGCAAGGCCCAGATGTAGCTTCTTTAAAAAGACACGCACTTGGTTCTCCTAGGTGTGTGCCTTGTGCATGTTGCACCTCGGCCTAGGTGTTCAACTTAGTTAAATTTTGTACTTTTTGCTCTATTTAAACATAGTGGATGGGGGGTTGGGTGCTCTATCCCTGGACCCTTGGCCAAGCCCCTTGAGGAAAGCCCAAACATGTCCATGCTAGGTCTTAAATTCTTAATACATGCATAAAAGATTGTTTTCTATGAAGGACAAGTAAACAGCGTTTGTAAAAAATGGGGTTCTACTCCGTTCCGGTGAGCTAGCGGAGCTGAGAACCCCTGTTTTTTACTTATGTTGTTCATTTTTCCTTCTTAATATAAGACATTTTTAAAAGATAAGGAACTATAATTAAAATTGAAAACCAATATTTTATGTATGGATTAAGAATTTAAGACCCTAGCATGGATATGTTTGGTCGTGTCTCAAGGGGCAATATGATATAGATTAATTAAAGTTCAGTTTACAGATCAATTTTAGAAACTTGCTTCTATGGCCAAGATATCTTTCATGTAACAATATGATTATAGGCCTGACATTCCTCATATGTTCCTCTCACTGCCTATTCATGGGGCAAATTTCAGGTTAAATCCCTTTGCCATATTTTTAAAATAGCTCTTCTTTGTGGAGCTTTTTGTGATTAAAATATTATAACTTTGGGTGCTAAAACAAGGTGGGATATAGTGCTGATATGGGCTCAGGAAATGAACATGTAACCCTGATCCAAAGTATACCCCAACGTGATGGACATTTTAGCTTGTCCATGGAGTTTATACATATAGTCGAAATATTCTTTGGATATAATTAACGTGATGGTCAAATCTCCTATTTGATTTCTTGACCTGATTTGCAAACCTTAATATTGTTTGGATATAATTAACATTACATTTATAGTAAACATATATAATGTGGTATATGATTGCCTTAGGTATTTTTATCGCTTGTTATCTGGGCCAGAGCCTTTATCGACATTTGAGAAAGATCGTGTATGGCATGTACCAGAAGTGTTGGATCTTGCTGCTATGCAGGTTTGTTCTTTGCGTTATCTTTTCTCAAGAGATTGTTTCTTTAATGTTTATATGATCAATTGATTGGTTTTCTAGCAGAAAGCATGTCAAATCCTTGTTGGACATCATGATTTCAGTTCCTTCAGGGCAGCTGGTTGTCAGGTTCCCCCCCATCTAATGGCTATTATCTTTAGTTCTCTTTTTACTTGAATTTGTTTAAGAACTAAGATCACTGCCATGAATGTTTAATATTTCTATGTGACATTTGTGCTACAATTTACTATAATTCTATCTTTTGATCCATGAGATGGTAGTACAAAATATAACTGGGTTTTTGCTGCAACCTTTGAAATAAGATGTAGAGAGACTGGGCTGAATGGGTCCTAGTACTTGTTTATGTTTTAAGTAGCACTATGTTTACATTTTATGTGCTAATGGGCCTGTTATTGTTTTGTGTTTCTTTCAAGTTATTTAAGTGCCGGCCGCCCACTTAAGGGCAGAGATGTAATTAGTCATAGTTAAGTGGGTTTAATAAAAGATTAAGAGAGAGAGGAGGAATCTATAGAACTCTCTTCTCCTTTCTCTTCTTCTCCATCTTCTTCTTCCTTCTGCAATCACCTCTTTTTCTCCTTTTTACTGCTGTAATCAGGTTTAATTATCAGATTTGAAGGACAGTTTTACATCTTGGTATAAGATCAGGTTTCCCTCTTCTTTCCTTTATCTTTTCTTTTCCCATACACCCTTTGATTAGAAGAGTGTATGGAGAGATAAGCTTCTGATCATACAGAGGACTGTTTGCCTAGTTGGTAGAGGGTTTGGAGAGTTAAAGTTTGGTTGAATAGTGTCAAGAAGTGGAGCCGTTGTTTTTCTGCCCAAACCCTAGCCGACTAGAGAGATTTCAAGTTATAGGATAAGGAGAAGGATTGGGTGTGGCGCTTAGGGCTTGGGTGGTCTCTTTTAATCCCTAGAAGGGGGCGGTTGAGGTTTGAAGAAGGTTGGGAAGCTTTGGTAGGAGCGGCCTCTTTTTCTCTCTTTCTTTCATTGAGTCGGTTGCAGTGAAACCCTAGTTTTTGAACCTTTTGGTACTGAGCTGACCTTAGTTAGGTCCATAAAGAGTGAAAAACCAGTTTTTTTGATTTTTGTTTGATTGATGGAGCAATCTAGAAGTGAAATGAAGTAGACTCTGGTATCCGGGGCTGGTTTGGTAGATTCCTTTTTGAGTGGAGTGGCTACAATTAAACTAGATGGAACCAATTACCTAGCTTGGGCGCAGTTTATACTGATTTTTGTTTGTAGTAGAGGTAAATTGGGGTATCTCACAGGCAATAAGGAGAAACCTGCAGAGATGGACCCTACATATGAGAAATGGATGTAGGAGAACTACACCGTGATTGGGTGGTTAGTCAACTCTATGCAGCCCCCTACATAAGCCAACATTACCTTTGGATGACTTCTGCCAAGAAGATTTGGGACAGTGTCACTGAAACATATTCACAAAAGTTGAATGTTGCGAGAGCTTATAAGTTGAAGAGTGATGTGAACAATCTGAGACAGGGGTAGGAGAGTGTAGCAGTTTACTTCTCCATGTTGAAATCATTGTGGTAGGAGATTGATGCTATGGAGACAGTTGTATGGGAGAGCACAAAGGATGCAGAGACATTTAGAAAGTTGGTGGAACGAAATAGGGTGTTTGAGTTTCTTACAGGACTCAACCCTGAGTTTGACATTACTAGGCAGAATATTTTGGCCTAAGATGAAGTCACCCTTGCTTGTGCATACTTTATGGTGAGCAGTGAAGAGCGTAGGCGGCAAGTACAATTAATCACTTGGACACTTGTTGGAAGAAACCGAAGCATACTAATGACACTTGTTGGAAATTCCATCCAGAACTTCTCCCGGACAGGTTTCGGAACAACAGTAACAACAATTTCAAGAAGAGTAGTCAGACAGGGAAGCCTAAAAATGCAAATGTTGCTACAATGCCTAAAGGTGGATATAGAGAAAGTGAAGAAAAATCAGCTATGGAGCAACTGGCAGCAGTAAAGGTAGAGTTTGAGAGGTATGGGAGGTTACTTAATCACTTGGACACCACTATTGCAGCATCCAACCCTTAAGGCAACACCTCATCATCCACATTTGCTCACTCAGGTACTTGTGCTTCTACAAATCATTCTACTATTTTAGGTAATCATAAAATCCCTTGGATTGTTAATTTTGGTGCGTCAAACCATATGACTAGTATACCTAACCTCTTTTGTTCATATCAACTCCTCTTTGGTAGAGAGATGATACCCTTGCTGAAGGGTCCCTTGCTCCCATCTCTAGCAAAGGAGATATTAAAGCATCTGACATTCTTGTTTTATCCTCTGTTCTTTATGTCTCCAAGCTTAACACCAACTTGTTATCTATTAATAGCTTAACTAAATCCATGAATTGTAGCATAACCTTCTTTCCTACTTATTGTGTTTTTCTGGACCTGAAATCTCAGAGGATGATTGGGAGTGACCATGAGACGAATGGAATATACTTGATGGACACACCTGATAGAAGTCTTGGACCACCTAATGGAGTTGCTTTGGAATCTGTTTTGTTAGAGTCTATTAATCGAGTCATGTTATGTCATTTATGTTTTGGTCATTTATCTATTTTCTACTTTGAGTCATTTGTTTCCCGACATGTTTAAGGGAATATCTCTTTCGAGTCTTCATTGTGATTCTTGTGAACTTGTGAAACATTGTAGATAGTCTTATCCAATGAGCAATTAAAAATCTATTTATGCTTTTCATATTGTGCACTCTGATGTGTGGGGGCCAATATCATTTACCTACTATGGGGGGTTACAAGTATTTTATCCTCTTTATTGATGATTTCTCTCGCTATACTTAGATTTACTTCATGAGATCCCGGGATGAAGTTCTAACTATTGTGCAAAAGTTTCATGAACTCATTCTTACCTAGTTTAACACTCGGATCAAAATATTCTGATCGGGTAACGCTAAGGAATATTTTGAGACGAACCTTTCATCCTACTTTGATGCCTTTGGGGTTATCCATCAAAGTTCTTGTTCCTACACTCCACAACAGAATGAAGTGGCAGAAAGGAATAACTGCCTTGTGATTGAAGTTACTAGAAGCCTCTTTTTTGCATCTCATGTTCCTACAAAATTTTGGGGGGATGTTGCCCTTACTAATATATACTTAATTAACTGTATGCCTTCTTGGGTTCTAGGTTTCAAAACCCCTTTTAGGCTTTTCTTTCCGGATGAGGATCTCTTTTTTCTTCCTCTCTGAGTTTTTGGGTGCACCTATTATATGCATCTTCTGAACCATCAGAGACACAAATTTGAGCCTAAGTCCCACAAGTGTGTCTTCCTAGGATTTGCCTCCACACAAAAGGGTTATTGTTGTTTTGATCCAGTTTGTGGCACCCGCTTTGTCACTAGGGATGTCACATTTGTTGAGTTTATTCCTTTCTTTGGTACTTCTTGTAATGGGGAGCATTTCGAGGAGCTGTTTGCTATGTCCCCGGCTATTCCTCTTCCAGTTCCTATTGAGTCTTCTATGGAGTCATCTACTTTGGTTGCACCACCCATTACGTCTCCTTTACATGTTCTGCTCCCCCTCCTCTTGTTGCTCATCCTCCCATGTTCCTTCACATCCTATTGTTCAAAGGTGGTACCAAAGACAAAGACTCAAGTATGGGCAAGTTGTTTCCACTCCTTCCACAGAGCCTCATGCACCTTCCGTCACAACTGAGGTCATAGGTCAGCCTTCCTCTGACTCGTCTGCTACCTTTCTAGACCTTGACCTTCCTATTGCCCTTCGCAAAGGCAAGCGGAAGTGTATAACACATTGTATCTCCAAACACTTGTCCTACAACTTTCTTTCCCCAACCTATTATTCTTTCCTTGCCTCCGTTTCTACACATGTGATTCCCAAGTTTGTACCAGAAGCCTTATCCAAACCACAATGGAGGGATGCTATGATGACTGAGCTAGATGTTTTGCATAAAAACCATATCTAGGATATTGTGGACCTGCTTGAGGGGAAGGAACCAGTTGGTTATAAATGGGTGTTTTATTATCAAGTATCATTTTGATGGTATTGTTGAGAGGTTTAAGGCTTGATTGGTTGCTAAAGGCTACACTCAGATGTATGGTATTGATTACCTTGAGACCTTTGCTCTTGTGGCTAAAGTGAGTTCAGTTCGAGTTTTGTTATCTCTAGTTGCTACCTTTGATTGGCCCCTTCATCTATTTGATTTTAAAAGTGGCCCCTTCTATTCATTCTTTGTTTCTTTTTCTCTTATCAAAACCCTGTGATCTTTTAAATTTCAATAGTAAAACATATATATGCGCTGAAGTTTCAGGATCTACTTACATATACCTTGTAGGATACCACCTCCTTCGTTACATTTGCCCTACAAACTTCTTTGTTTGGACTGAGCTTTTGTGTTCAGTCCAGTCAGGATCTGCATCAAATTAGAGTTTTTGGTTCTATCCCTGCTCACAGATGGAAAGTAAATTGTGGGGAGCTCTGGTTGCTTAACAAGCCAAAGAAGAGCAATGGAGGAAGGAGGTACTGAAAAACCAATAAAACAGAATTATCAGACCACCTGGAGCAGGATATGTTCTCTAATACAATTATCATCTCAAGTCACTCATTCTATCCTGTCTAAAACCCTAAATTTGCAGATGGCAGATGTATCAGATGCCACCAACAATTGAAAAGCTCCCAAACTTCTATCGAATGCTGCAAAAAAAATCTCATTACCAGGTGTTTTTCATGAGTCAACAGTGTTCCTCATCATGGAAAGATCAATGGCTATATTCTGTTTCTCTATAAAAATTACATTATCGAATTAATGTCTCTTTATTATGCAAGTTCCAGTTTTTTTGCTCTTATTCTCATTTTATACGGATTTTGGTTTCTCTCTCTGTCTCACTTTTTCTCTAATTGGGGTGTTTATAGATTTTCTTTCCTTTCATTTGATTCTTTAGCTTCATAGTTCATCCTTCTTATAATCTAATGCTTGGCAACAGAACAAATTAAGTCTATGTTTTGTTAAAATTTTGTTTCAAATGATCATTATTCGAAAAACGATTTTTGAGCCAACAATTATTTGTTTTTGAAGGATCAGTCATTTCTGATCAAAATGAAGAGGAGCGATTTTGTGAACCAATCATCTTTCCATTACCTACCAGTCCCAACTCACTTTCAGCTTATCCAATCCTCCCCACAAAACCTCTCTAAGTTCAACCAAAGGGTTGATCGTCTCTAGCAAGATGACCTATAGATAAATGATGCACATTTTCACCCACGTTTTCTTTCTTTTTCTTCCTCTGCAGTCCTGGTCCTGTTACTTCTTTAGTTTGGTCTTTGATGCAAATGACAAGGGTAGAGGAGATATTCTGCAGTGATATTAGAATAAGGCACCTGCCTTGCCATTTTTTTGCTTAGGTGGGTGCCTAGTTGCCTAGAAGGGTGCCTAGTTGCCATAAGTGACAGTGTTTAGATGAGGCACCCAGCCAAAGACGCCTAGGTGACAAACTATGGTGGAGAAAAGACTCTTGCAAGAGTAAAATTTTTGGGTCGTATGTACTAAAGGTCTTGCACTTGGGATATTACTCGTAATCCGCCTATTTTTAGATAGGTGCTTGATTTTGAAGATATTTCCTATTTTAATGGTGATTTCTTCAAGAAAGATTTTATCAATTGGGTGTTTGTTCTAGAGCTACTTTGAACTCAATGAGATATTTATAAAGAAAAAAGTGTGACTTGCATTGCACAAGCTTGATGAACAAGCAGAAAATTGGTGGGATGAATTACAATACCATAGACTAGGTCAAGGTAGGGATGAAATTCATTCATGGTAAAAAATGAAGATAATGTTGGCAAACGAGTTTTTCCCAAATGATTTTGATGAAATTTTATTTTGTTTAATTAAGAGAATAAATTCTTATATGGAGAATTATATGAATTTTCAATGTAAGAATTTAGAGCCTATGAAAATTTCTTTAGCAAAGATGCAAGTTGACACAATTGAAAATATGGTTTTAAATTGTGAAGATTATGTGAAGCAATTTACTAGTCAGGATGTTCCAAAAATTCAAGAAGTTGAACTACTTGTGCAAGAACAGGATTCTCTATAATCTAAAGGCATTCAGGTGCATAATTGTCTGGATGATTTTCAAGAATGCATCACCAAGCAAGAGGATCAAATAATTCAAGAATTCAAGAAATTCAAGTGGTGAAGAATATTGTGGAAGGTTACAATGAAAATACACTTCAAAGTGAGCCTATGACCTATAACTCCCTTGATTTCTCGGAGCATCTGAGATTGAAATCTGTTGATTTTATTGGGGTGGAGATAAGTGCTTTTAAATCCAATTGAATTAGGAAGTTTAATTTTTTATTAGATAGGTACTTTTGAAAGTTTGTATACAATTAGGAGTTTTCTTTTTTAGTTGATGATTTATCTATAAATAAGATCATTGTACATTCTCAATCTAAGTACATTGATATAGTGAATTGAATACAATCTCCTTTGGGTTTTCTCCATTTCTTTGTGGGTTTAAGGATTTCTCTTCTTCTTGTGGATTGAAGAATTTTCTCTTTGAAGAGGACGATGCTCTTTTTCCTCCCACACTTCCCGTTCTATGTCAAACATTTGATAAGGACCACTTTACCATAAGATCGTTTCCTTGTCCCTCCCATGTTGTTTTGCAAAAAATAAATCTATTGGTGTTTTGTCGATGGCTGCTTATTTGATCTCATCCCACTTTTTGATAAATGTGGTATATCCCTTATTTTATGACAAAAAATGGCCTTTTAATGCAATGTGGTACTAATTTTTGGTATTTCTAGGAATGTATATTTTGGCTATTAATCAGGGTGTGTTTTCCGTTCATCAAGTAGGATATGTTCAATAAACACCATTCCTTATTTAAAAGGAAACATAAAAGATGGGGGGTTTTCAATGGATATTTTATCCTTTTCCTGCAAAGAAAACCTTGACTTCTTTGCCAATTTGAAATTAAAAATGTAAAAGCAGGTGAGGTTTGAATTGTTGGTGCTAATTAGTATTGTTCTATGTAGTCTCCTACTAAAAGCTTGGGAAATGTGCTTAATGTATTTCTGTTCTCAACAAATAGCTTGGTACCTTATTAATGATTTGCAGGCAAAGTCACCTATTAGAACTTTAGATGAACTTCATGTGGCTGAGGTAGTTTCCACTCCGTACTTCCCATCAATTCTAGAGAGAGAACAAAATACTTATACAAAGCAAGATGCATCTTCAGTAGACATTGAGCAGCCTTTAGAAATTTCTATTCCCCATCATCATAAAGTTGCAGAATCCTCTGTGGCTGGTCAAGAATTTGGGCAAAGAAGAAGACACCGTTCCTTTGTGATTACAGCACGGGCACGTTCTTTTCTTTACCATCAGGTAGGAGTTCTTTTATTTCTTCCTTCAGTTTATTTCTTTAGTACAATGCTTTCAATCTGATACCTGTTGTCAAGATTAATACGGACAGAATAAAATGCTTTTGTTGGCTAAATGGAGACAAAACACATATAATGGCTATTTTGTCTATTATTTTAGGACTGAATAAGAATAAAATTGAGTAGAGAAAAAAATATATATATGAAACCTTTTATCTCTTCTATTACTTTAGTTTTGTGATTTTGGAGTCCCTACTTTTGATAAACTGAGCAACCACTCTCAATTAAGGGTGGTGAATGACGGAATGACACTATTTTTTTTTGGCAATCTATCAATAATGCTAAAGATATCTTTACCCAATTGGGAAAGCAATTGAGGAAACCAATCTAACAGTATCATAAAGGAAAAGTGGCTAATCCCCATAAACTAGGCAATAATATCAAGTTCAAAAGAGAAAAAAGAAAAGAAAAAGGAATTCACATGGTGAGTAAACCTTGAATAAAAAGAAACTTAGAATTTGTCCAAAATTTTTAAGTAGGAACATCATGAATGAAATAACCATTAACTAATGAAAACCTGATCCGGATCTTCAGTCTTCCTTCTCTCCCTCATTCTCAGCAATGTTGAAGTAGCAAAATTCATAAGCATTCCTATCTTTGTCCGGAGCAATCACTCAGAGCCAATCCTGTACAATGTATTTCTTCTAGTATTTGTTGGTCAGATATTTCAAATACCACTTAGAGAAGTTGCTGTCTGGGGTGACAGTGATTGTGCTCTTTTCATGGTTGATGGTAATGGAGTCACTGAGACCACCGTCCTTGCCTTTGACTTTGATCCTCTCCTGAAGGAACTTCTCCAGTGATCCAATGTCCATAATCTTATCCTTGACTGGGTTTTGTGCAGTTGATGGTGAAAGTCATCTCCACCTCTCTCTAGCAGCTTGGTCAGATTGTCGGGTATGCCAAGGTTGTTGGGAAAGATGAATGCACTTCAGAGATGGAGAAGAGCAACAACAAGACCCTGCTAATTATTGATATATATATCCAATAATGAGGATACCAGTGTATTTCACCATATTTAATTAAGAAGGGATTTTTTGTGAATCAAAAATATGGGCAGGGATGTTCAAATAAGTACCCATATTTAATTTGTTTAAAAGTCTTCTGATCACAAAAGAACCTTATTAAAGTGTATCATACCTGATGTAGGATGGGGTAGAGTCCTACTAATTTAAGATCTGGTGGTGGGCTTTGTTGGTGAATGAGGGGCTGTGGGTGATTAATTAGAATTTTGAAGAAAGATAAGAGAGGGGGAATGAAAATGTTCTGGCAACAACCAGAATTCACTAATCCAAACTTCATCAAATCAACTCTCCTTAAACTCCATTTACAATGGCTATTTATAGACAACTTGTTTAGTCGGATATCCCTTTACAGACTCCAATTTTGACTAGAAGTTGACCCAAAACAACTTGTAGTTGTTTCAAAACTGAGAGAAAACCATAGGTAACCCATAATGACAATTAAATAAGTACTCCAGCTCCTAAGAAACTGTAATAACACATTCCTAATACTGCTAAAACTAACTTTAAAAATATTATGGTTTACTAAAAATAGTAAATACGAAAATTACCTTAATAGGTCTAGAAGTTAACATAAATAATAATTTTGTACTAACAGAAATTTTTTGGAAAACCTTAAAATCATATTTTTAAGATACCCATGACTAGAAAATAAAATCTGAAGTAATACCAATATCTATCGACCAAAATGGAAGTTCTAATGTAACAGAAATGTGAAACACATCAATTAGTAGATAATTTGCAATTTAAAATCAAGTCGATAAAATTGCTACTGTGCTGAAATGTTTCAGGAGAAACAATTTCTCCAAACATTGAATCGAACATGGGGTTTGGAGCAAGGTCTTTTAGACTGAAAACTATAATTTTAAACTTCATGCCTGAAGGAGAACCCCACCACAAGTGCAGTGAGTCGCTACGGTGTTCACACCCAAACTTTGAATGTCTCTCATGAACCCAACAAGAGGATGTAAGTGGAACACTTTTGTTCTTGCACTACCAATCAGCTCTTTGATGTGAAGGATGAATTTCGGTTGCTTTTGTATATCTTCCAAGGTATCTAACACAGTGAACTTGGCTACAATTGGACTGGTTCGATGGTGGTTCCGATCAACTATTTTAGAGCATTTAGGGCATGCAGAAGCGAATGCTTTTGCTTTTCTCTAACGGATGATTTGGGGAGAAGGGTTTTAAGTCAGCTCTTATTAGAGCCTTTTAAACCCTAATCAACTCCCAATCGAATTGGAAAACGACTGGTATCTTCTTTCCTTGTTGAACTTGGCTTTTTGGTTTGGCTAGCAAGTCATAATCAAATTGGGACTTTCTAATTCCCAACAAACCAGTCCTAGAATCCTTTTATAAATTAAAGAACCTTGTGAGAGAATGAACTTGTTAGGTGTGAGACGCATAGGAGTTTAATTGGAGCCAATATATGAGATTAGGATTCTTTCCTTTTTCTTGGATCTAATCCAAAAGGAAGTGGGCCCCACATGGCTAAATTCACTCCCTTTGCTATGGGGAATTTGTCCAAAGCTATTAGGCCCAACAATGTTCAATATTTAATGTTAAGGCTCTGCCGTCCTTAGTGCCCGAACCCATTGCTCCTAACTGAAACTTTTCCATCACTATTTGGGCCTAAATAAACACTTGTAGTGTAATCTCTTTGCCATTAAGTAGAAATCTACAGAAACAAAAAACTGTAGAGAAAGAAGAAGAAAAGAAGAGGTTTTTATAAGAGATAAGAGAGAGAATGGAGAAAAGAATGAGAAAGCTATATGATCTTGCTGCCCCCTCTTATTGATATTTATACTTTAAGTAAAAATTATGTACAATGACTAATATGCCCTTATGGGGTGGCTAAATAAAGGACTTGAAAACACCACTCTAGGGCCCCTACAAGTGCGTTGTGGTCCTCACTCCCTAACTAAACAAATAATAAACAAATTAACCAACAAATCTGCAGAAAAATAACTAATAAATCTACACAAATTCCTCAACTCTCCCCCTTAAGTTAGGAATAAATGTCACACATTCCCAACTTGCATAGGTCATGTTCAAGCTTGTTCTTTGCGACCCATTTGGTGAAGACATTAGCCAACCATAACTCAGTGGTGACATAAGGCAGGCAGACTTCTCCGGTTGTCACCTTTTCTTTTATGAACTGCCTATCAACTTCAATATAACAACATTGGCTCCTTTGCGTCTATCCCACTCTCACTTAGCAAGGATTTAACCCAAAGTAATTCTGATACACCATGGTCCATAGATGTATATTCAGCCGATGCACTTGATCTTGCCACCACTGAATGTTTTTTACTTTTCCATGAAACATGATTTCCCCCCACAAAGGTACACACCCCTGATGTGGATCTCTTGTCATCTAGGCAACCTGCCCAATCTGCATTTGTATAGGACTCCAATTTCAAATTCCCATGGTCTGTGAATAAAATTCCTCTATCAAGATGTTTCTTTAGGTATGCAAGTAACCAATCAATGGCTTCCCTGTGTTGAACCCAAGGAGCATGCATATACTGATTCACAACACTCACGACATAGGAAATGTCTGGGTTAACTCCTAGCTTCCCAGTTAACCCACATCCTTTGATATCTCCCCACATCCTTAACAAACTCACTGTCTAGAGCATTAATCCTATGGTTTGAATCAATAGGAGTATCAGCTGGTTTAACTCCTAGCTTCCCAGTTTCTTGCAATGGGTCCAATACGTACTTCCTCTGATAGATGAATATCCCATGCTTGGATCTTGCAACCTCAATCCCTAGAAAATATTTTAGTTCACCTAGATCCTTAATCTCAAATTGTTTTTGCAGTGACTTCTTGAGTGTATCAATCTCCCTCAGATCATTCCTTGTAACAACTATATCATCCACATACACAATCACTATTATCACAAGTGATTCTCTCCTCTTCACAAAGAGAGTGTGATCTGACTAGGTCCGAGTGTATCCAAAATGGATCAATGCCCCCTTAAACCTATTAAACCATGCCCTAGGTGACTATTTCAAACCATATAATGGCTTCTTTAGCCTGCAAAATTTTCCCTCACCAACATTCTCATAGAAACCAGTTGGTAGGTCCATATATACCTCCTCCTGCAAATCACCATTAAGGATTGCATTAATAACATCAAATTGGAAGAGTAGCCATGAGTAAGTAGTTGCTAGAGACAAGAGGATCTGAATTGAGCTCATCTTCGCTATTGGTGTAAATGTCTCCAAATAATCTATGCCATAGATTTGTGTATACCCTTTTGCAACAAACCTTTCCTTGTACCTCTTTATGCTGCCATCAGCCCTGTACTTCACAATGAACACCCATTTATACTCAGTTGTCTCCTTTTCCACAGGAAGCTCAATTATCTCCAATGCTTAGTTCTTAATCAAGGCTTCCATTTTTTCTATCATAGTTGTTCTCCACTCAGGTTTAGAGAGAGCCTCACTAACATTCTTGGGCATAGAGACAAAATCTAGGGAAGAATGGAAGGCACAGTAGGAAGGTGATAGGGCACTATAGGAGAGATGGTGTGAAATGCAATGGGCTGTATACTTTCTCTTTCCCTTGTGGAGTGCAATGGGAAAATCAAGATCAGCTCTAACATCAATGTTAGGTACAGAAACATCATCAATGGGATCAGAGGCAATAACAACTCAAGGAAAATACTTGGAACTGTATCAATTGCACCTAGAATCTCAGATGGATTGACGGAGAGTGGTGCAGTTTCTCCTATTGGAGCATGTGTGAAGTCAACCCTCTTGCATTGGTGCTGAAAGAACTATGAGGCAGGTCATAGTGGATCTGACAGTGTGACTAGAGGAGCTCATGGTGGAGCAACAGTTAGAGCTAATGGACCAAATGAAGGAATAGAAAGAGAAACAGATTGTGAGCTCTCCTCCCCAAAACACTATG